TTGTTGACCATCAATATAAAGTGTCAATGAATACTCTGAATACTTGTTGGCATGCAGCTGCAAAGTAACTTATAGAGTGAATGAGCTGACATTAATTCTATATGTGGATGAATGACAGAAAGAGACTAAAGAATTTATTCAGAAACCATTCTGCTTTGTTGCTGAATCTATCCTGACCTCCTCCTTTGGTTTCTTTGGCTCATCTACAAAATCATAAAAAATAGCAATGTTCAATTTTAACTTCAGTTTCCTCCTCGAATAAAGCATTCGTTTGACTTCAAAAGACTTGTAATATTGTGTGTAAGTTATAAGGGTCAATTACACGCTACTTTCATTCTGGTTATTGTGTTTCGCAGAAGACAGAAAGTCAAGTGTGAAACAGCATGATTAGTTAACTGTCGCTTAAACTGTGAAAAAAAATAGGACCAAATTCAGGGGAAAGATAAAAACCGACAAGTCTGCAGTACCCCGTGTGTGATCTTTGAGCTGCCCACTCATACAGACACCCTCATTACCAGCAGCTCAATTGTAGGACTGCCTCCAAGGTTGGAACTATTTAACCCTGGAGAACGGTCAAAGCTTTCTGGTTTGAATAGGGGTTTGAGATTGAACCCCAGCTGTAATGATGATGATCCCCATCAGGACCTCAACGGCTGTCATCTCATCAACAAAAATACACTTATTTCTGCTTCAGAGTGCCCTTGCAGGACTAATGCGTGCCAGCGATGCACTGAAGACAAATGGCAAATGGGGAAACAATCGTGGCATTAATTTGAACTGGGCTGTCAGCTGTTTGGGTTTACCTAATGAATGACCCATAATGTGCAAGGGGAAAAGCAAATAGTGTGTGCGTTTATGATTTCTAATAGAGGATGAGAGCGATGTGTTAATATACTGCCAAGTCAGGCTGAAAGTGACCATGAATAAAACATCCATTTAATCTAATCTTTTTACCCTGGCGCACACTCCATTAAATTGTGTTATGTCTTTAAACCAGTCACAACTCAAAATGATGCCGTTTCCTAGACAGGATGGTTCCATCCATTCCCTAAACCAGAAAATTGGATAGGGGAACAAGAATGTGCCGTATTTAAAATCAGTGTATAGGAAGTTTGCAGAAGAGCGTCGCTACCTATTATTGAAACTATTTGAACGCTGCTCTCTCTCAGGTGAATTACCTCATTCTGAAGGGCATGGCAGAGTAATTTCTGAATGAGCCAAAATTGGGTTAGGTTCAGTCTGAAATTACTTTATCACCTTTCAGTTCTCTGCAGAGATGGAAATATAAAAATTTTCACTCAAATCAAAGCACATACCTGTAATAGACTGCGGCAATAAAAATCGCTAGCTGCCTGACCTTGGAGTGCACATATAGAGTGTTAATAGACACGCACATACTTTCAGCAGTGCTACCTTTCATAAGCTATGGCTTGTTGTTTACTAGATACCCAGCATTATCACTAGCCACAATTATGTTGCTAAAAATTTAGTTTTACATCAATAAAGTTTACTATTGCATGCAAAAATATTTTAAATGATTTAAACATTTATTAAATAATAATAAATATTTAAATATTTAAATATTGGGGGTTGTAACAAAAATGATGTGTAATCTTTCATTTCTGGTTCTGAAAGCTATTATTGTTTATATTCTATTTTACCATCAAATAAAATACATCATTATAGATAAAAAAGCTGAAGTAGAGGCGTCACGGTGGCGCAGTGGGTAGCACAATCGTCTTAAAGCAAGAAGGTCGCTGGTTCGAGCCTCGGCTGGGTCAACTGGCATTTCTGGAGTTTGCATGTTCTCCCTGTGTTCGCGTGGGTTTCCTCTGGGTGCTCCGGTTTCCCCCACAGTCCAAAGACATGCGCTATAGGTGAATTGGGTAGTCTAAATTAACCATAGTGTACTGTATGTGTGTGAATGAGTGTGTATGGATGTTTTCCAGTGATGGGTTACAGCTGGAAGGGCATCCGCTGCATAAAACATATGCTGGATAAGTTTACAGTTTATTCTGCTGTGGCGACCCCCGGTTAATAAAGGGACTAAGCCAAAAGTAAAATAAATTAATAAATGGAGCTGAAGTAGCATTTCGATGTTTGTTTTTACACCGACTGTTGAAAGTTTCATGGACAAATGTACAAAATGTTACTAATATTAAAAAATGCATCGTCTAAGAGATTAAGGACAAGATTTGTTATGTCTAATCTATGTTTTGTGATAGAAATGTTTTAGCAAAAGTATAGGTAAATTGTATTGGAGCTACAGATGTAAACATACAAAATCAAATATCATACCTTTATTATACAAAGGCAATGGCACTACTAATTTTACGCAATTTGCCTCCTTTAAACAACATCCACTGTCACTTTTTGTGCTTAAAATTGTTTCATTTATGAAATATTGTTATATTATGCGTTGTTTATATGAGAATTCTTCTGAACCATCTGCTCACTATTATTGTTCGTCACGAAATTATGCTAACAAAGCATCGTTTATGTTTTAAAAGTATGTATGACTGTATACATTACACTCTTTAAAATGAACTCTTAAAAGTAATAATCAAAGTTTAGGTTTCAAAATAGGCAATATTTTCCTTTGACTTATATCTACTGTAATTACAGTCTGCTCTCAGAACTGTATACACATGCTGCACCGATGAACCAGAGCTTACTGCTTTATGAATTCTATTGCGGGGCATGTACATACAGCAACAACCCTTAGATAAAACATGCAGGTTGTCAATGAGTGACAGAGCAGAAAAAGTATGACAGAGCAAAGTGTGGATGTGCTGTCTTTGAAAGACATGGAATATTTTGCAGATGTCACACTTTTTCTTATTGTGTTGGCAAAGATACAGTATATTCAATGTATCTCGATCACAAATACAAATAATACTATTTTTGTAGAACCTACTGTATGTTCTTAAATGTTATTCCTCTCTTCCAGTAGCGGTTAGGGAAAAATTGGATCTAAGATTGTGAAAATGAGGTTTTAATTTAGTGGTAATGGATGAGATGAGATGAAGCTTGTTCTAAGTGAACAGTTAGTTAACAAACAGAGAATACATTTTAGAAATGTGGAAATAAAAAAGCAGTCCATTCTCATGAGGAAACTTAACTATTGTATTTATTGTGAAAAAATGCCCCCCAAACCTTATTGGGGATGAGAAAATTGTACTAAACTGTTCAAAAGAGATTATACAAATGTATACAAATTAGCCACTAATTTAAAAAAAAAAAAAATTTTCTTTTTGGAGATTGTGTATGTAGTTGTGCTCTTTTTTTCCTCCCCTCATGGGATCCTTTCCCACTCAGACAACTGTGTGATCCTCGTCTAAAAATCTAAATTGAATTAAATCAAATTAATTTTTTTTAACAGGAACATGCACAACAATACATTAACCTTGAAAGGGAAAGATGTGTTGTGCCAGTTTTTAGCAAGGTTGCTATTTTCCACCTGCAGTCCCTACAGAAGTAAATCTTACAACAATCAAGGACAAAAAATAAATAAATTAAAGAATAAAATGAAATAAAATTGGGTTCACACGGTGGCTCAGTGATTAGCACTGTCGCCTCACAGCAAGAAGGTCGCTGGTCCGGGTGCTCTGGTTTCCCCCATAGTCCAAAGACATGCGTATAGGTGAATTGAATAATAAATAATTGAATATGTATGTGTTTCCCAGTACTGGGTTGCAGCTGGAAGGGCATCCGCTGTGTAAAACTTATGCTGGATAAGTTGGTTGGTTCATTCCGCTGTGGCAACGCCACATGAATAAAGGACTAAGCCAAATGAAAATAAATGAATAAATGAAATTTCCAATTTAAAGCATACAGACTCAATCACACACAGACTAAACACACAAATCCAACACAGCACTCAATTTGAGTACAGTGTGTACAATTTTGTATTGAAAATCGACATGTGATTAATTCTGTTGGAAGAGTATTCCATAAGTGTGTGGCTCTATAAGATAAAGACAATTGGCCAAAAGAGGTTTTACATCTTGCAGAAATATTGTCACTTCCTTTTCTCAATGTTTTAGTTCAAGGATTCTCAACTGGTGGGCCACAAACCACTAGTAGGCCTTAGCGATCCTGCAGATGGGCCACAAGATAGCTTTAAAATGAATTCTTAATATAGTGCAGTAATCACAATACAGTGAAACAGTGATATTTATATCCAAAGTTATCATAGTGTCAGAATCTTATACTGGCCCATGCCTAGTTACACAACACTACTAAAATTCAGCCCCATTCATCAGGTTCACCAAATGTTAATCTTTCAGTTGTAATCAGTCACTTTATGAAGAAAGGTAGATTAATTTGAACTAAAAAACTACTTTTTGTGATATTGTTAATGGAAATTTTCTAAGGTTATTCAGATTGACCTCTTGTTTGACCTCGAGATCTTTCTCTGTTGACCTTTGACTGTATAATTAAGTAGACTGCTCAGTACATATTGATTCAGACACAGAGCGTGGCTGATGTGTTTATTCATTCGCTTTCTGACTTGAGGGGAGGCATTTTGAGTGTGATCACGTTGTTGTTGTTGTTCTGTATGCACTGGAGATGAAGGTGGGTGAATAAGGAGTTAGTTCTATCAACTGCTGTGTGTGTGTTGGAATTTAAATGAAAACTCACTACATTACAAGACAACACGGCATTTCTGTTGTCGTACACTCAGAAACAGGCTTTTTTTGAGCATGACCGGTCTCTTTGTGAAGGAATTTGTGGTGTTTGAGCATTTATTTAGCTCAATGGATGCCACATGCTGTCAACAACTATGTACTAGGAAGTAAACATGAGAACATATTGATGGCTTGTGAATGAATATGTCATTTGAGCAAGAATTTGTTGAGACTGGAACATTTGTGGAATTATGCGAAATCCGCCAAGAGATTTCACACTGAAAATTAGAAATGACAAGTTAAGGTTGGATATTTGCATAATTAAAACGGTGCAGAAATGATATATGGTATTTTTCTCTGTCACAACAGTTCCGCCTGTCGTCTCTGTGCCACAGCAGTCCTTCAACGCCACTGCAGACTATGGAGAATCTGTGACCTTCACTTGCCGGGCGTACGGCTCACCTGAACCTGATGTTACCTGGCACAGGTATGACAAATCAATATTAACACAGGGCATATGGATGATTATGGTTTAGTTACAGTTGAAGTCAGAACTATTAGCCCCCTTTTTAATTTTTTAAAACTTTTTAAAATATTTTCCACATGATGTTTAACAAAACAAGGAATTTTTATTCTTCTAAATCTAATATTTTTCTCCTGGAGAAAGTCTTATTTGTTTTATGTCAGCTAATAAAAGCAGTTTTAATTTTTTTAAAAGCCATTTTAAGGTCAAAATTATTAACCCTTTAAGCTATATTTTTTCGATAGTCTACAGAACAAACCATTGTTATACAATAACTTGCCTATTTACCCTAACCTGCCTAGTTAAACTAATTAACCTAGTTAAGCTTTTAAATGTCACAAAAAATCTAGTAAAATATTTTTTTACTTTCATCATGGCAAAGATGAAATAAATCAGTTATAATCAATGAGTTATTAAAACTATTATGTTTAGAAATGTGTTAAAAACCGTCTCTCTAAAGGGGGGTAATAATTCAGGCGGGCTAATAATTCTGACTTCAGCTGTATACTGGATGAAAATAAAACCAGTCTACATACTGTATATTCCACATTTCTATATAATACCACATATTTTGTCTGCAAAGTGCTTTTATGTACTGCAGTTATGGACTTGTCAGTCATCATAGGAGGACCTTTGGAAATTAATTGTAATTGTTTTATTAATGTTATGAATCTTTATATTATTTGAAAATAGTATTTATCTGCTATCTTCAGTTTTTCTCAGTAGCTTTGGTACATTTCTCAGATCAGATTAGAAATTCTCAAAACAACCTGTTCAATCTTCACATCATTGTGTCACTTGTACACATCAGCACAAGCCGTTTATCAATGTTTTGAACACGTTGCAAATGCTTTTGAACATCCATGCAAATGATTATGTGCAAATCTCTGCTGTTTCCTACATTATTAATTGCTTATGTCATGTTGACAGTGCTGGGAAGAGAACTGAAAAATCATACTCAAGTACTTTTACTTGCCTAAAGATGTAGTGCAAGTAGAGTAAAAGTATGTGTTATAAATATTACTCAAAGTAGGAGTAAAAAGTAGACATTTCAAAAGTACTCAAAAGCAGTGAGTAGTGAGTATTACACTGTAAAAAGCTGATATATTTACATGTAATTTGAACATGTGTGTAAACGTATCATTCTGTAGTGCATTGAGTTATTGCCCAGCAGGCACAAAACATCATAGGATGTTTATATTAGGTTAGATTTAGGTTGTGATGTTAGGTGACCAAAATTCAATGTCTAGCCAGTGTCTAAGGACAATCTTATTTTGATGTTCAATAACGACATCAAATGATGTTGATATTTTGTTGATTTTAGGTTTTTAGAAAGTGACAAAAATCTAATGTCGAGCCAACATCTTAAAATCAATGTCATATTGACGTCAAATTTTAACATTTATCCACTAGGTATGGCAACCAAAATCCAATGTCTAATAGATGTCATAGTGGTAACGTCCACACAACTTCAAGCTGTAACATCATTATACTTTGATTTTTGGTTCATTTTAAGTTGGATGTTGGACATTGATGTTGAGTTCTGACATCAACCTGATTTTCATTTCCAAACAAGATGCAAAGTCCCTACAACGTTTGGTAACAACGTCAATCTGATGTCATTTTGACATCTTGTGCCTGTTGGGTGTTTAAGACAATTTTGGTCATCATACAGTAAACATCTATCATCCTCTCATCAGTGACATCCATCTAAACCAGGAGTGTCCAAACTCGGTCCTGGAGGGTCGGTGTTCTGCAGATTTTAGATCCAAGGCTAGTAAGAGCTTGATTTGCTAGCCCAGGCGTGTCTGATTGGGGTTGGAACTATACTTTGCAAGACACTGGCCCTCCAGGACCAGGTTTGGACATTCCTGATCTAAACAGTCTCTGGGTCAATGCTTGTAAAGATTTAGGACTTTTCTTGGACACTCTTAATGCTTCTAAACAGTTTGCGGCAATTAGAAATCGCCCATGTCTTGAGATAGTTCATTATGATGCAATTTACCTTCTATATGCGATTTCATTGCACAGGAATCACAGGACTGGTTTTTCTAATCCTTTTAGACAAAAAACAAATTAAGTAGTGACTGCAGGTGGAGGGAAACTGTAGTAAACGTACCGATACTACACTAAAAATTTACTCAAGGGAAAGTAAAAGTACATATTTTTAAAATTACTTAGTAAATTACAATTCCTGAGAAAAACTACTCAATTACAGTAGTCTGAGTATTTGAAACTAGTCACTTTACACCTGCATGTTTATCATCATTTTGGTCTGTTCAAGAGTCTCAGCCCCCACAATCGTTTGATCATGGCATTTATATGCAAAAATGTCTTTTCTTGCAAAATGACTGAACAAGCTGTCGCAATATTTTGTCATAATGCATTTTTCTATGCATTTCCATTAAACAATTTATTAACCCTTTATAATAAGTACACACTATGGATCATTTATTAAGCATTAGCAAATAGTTCATTTATTATCTGTATTAACTCTACATTAATAGACGTTATTAAGCAGTTTAAAAAATAGAAATACAAATGCTGTATTATTGACTTCTAAGCACATTTACAAAGTGCTTAGTAATTGTATTTCCACTATTTTTTCACTATTTAAGTATTGCATTAATAACAAACTAGTTATTTAAGAATAGTTGATGCTATATTCAGGAGGATTTATAAGTTATATTATATTATATATGTAAGTAAATGATCAATAAACTATTCAAAGTAGCATATATATATATATATATATATATATATTATTATTATTATTATTATTATTATTATTATTATTATTATTATTATTATTATTATTACTCAGGTATGTTGATAAATGCTTTATTAACTCAACCTCATTCAGTTCTGTGACCTAATCTAAAGTGAGTACAATTTATGCTTTATAAATCCCCTATGAATGACAATTTAAGGCTCAGTTATATTCTAAAAAAAAGAAAACAAAAATTTACTGTACAGTTTAAACTTCGCTAAACAACTTGAAATGTTGCATCCTAATATATTGTTAAATTATTACATTGTTGTTTTATCCAATTTTATTCCATTGTATTTATTTTAATTGTATTTTGACACTCTTGTTATTCACCAATGTTTGAAGTTTACAGTCATTTTTTTAGATAAGATTGCAAACATTTAATCATTTGATACTAAGCTTTTAATTGTCATTTATTAAGGATTTACAAAGCATAAATAGGCCTAACTGTAGATTAGGTCACAACACTGCATGAAGTTAAGTTAATAAAGCATTTATTAACATTCAAATTAACTATATTAGTATATGCCTGAATAATCAAATATATAAATGTTTATTTGAATAGTTTAGCCATAGTTTGCATCAGAAGACCCCTCCAGAGTGCACTGTTATATTGACAGCATGACTAAGTAATTTGACTTGTCGTGTCCGTATACAAAGACTTGTCATTCTGATGGCCCTGACATGTTAATTTGGAGAGATAGACTAAAGGTTTTGAGCCAGAGACTGGCTTTTGCAGGTGGTGTTTTGCTATGTGTGTGTGTTGTTTTGAGAAATGCACTTACTGTTTTAAATTTCAATTTTGATCCGAGAAATGCACCTGAGAGAAAAGCGACTGAGAAAAACTTAAAATATAAGTGAATTATTTCTTTAATATAACATTAAACTTATTGAAATGAATGATGAACGTATAAATTAAATTTGAATTCACAGAATTGTTTGAATATATGTTTTACATATTATTTAATTAAGTATAATGGATTTTTAACTATGCAAGTTCTACCAAGGGCACCAAGATAATGTCCATGCAGTCCTAAAACTATAGTGGAATCCCTGTTGACAAGTATATAAAACTGTCATGACTGGCTCTCTCACAAAGGCACAGGATTGCAGGAATTATTAAAACACGTATTTATTTACAAACTGAACACTCACAACTGGAACATGGAACACAAGAATCACATCTAGGTTGGTAATACAGAAGACATAAAGCTGGACTGAACAAAACACAAGACTTTAATACATAGGACATGTTTAAATTGATAAAATACAGGGGTGAGACACAGGTGAAAACGCTATGCACTAACAAACAGCCAGAAAACAGAACAAAGGAATCACATGGCATAAACAGGAGCACAGCACATGGGGAAATCACATGACACAAACACAGAACCCTGACAGAAGCAGTGTTATAGAAATTTCTTTATGTCTTAGTTTTTTCTTTTATATATAATTTAATAAATTATGATATTTCCAGTATGATGATGAATACATTATTATGACTTACACTTACATAAATATGTGTGTGTAATGTTTTAAGTAACAATGCGTATTTAGAGCAAAGTACAGTGGATTTTCTCAAGTCTCCGTCTTTTGGTATGTTCTATAGAGACAGCATGACCAAACTTTTTGCATTTCTTAAAAAATGCTCTTTATTTCTTTTATAAATGAGGAGATTTGATAAGTTAAGATGCAACATAAAAATCAGGAGCTGGAGCTGCAGAACAGGAGTCATGGGCAGCTCAGCCATGAATGAGCTGTGATGACAGAGAATAGACACATTTATTCCACTCTTAATGTGCGGGCTTTGAGTGACAGCAGCCCAATGCGTTGATTACAGGTTCTCAATCACTGTAATTACCTCCGACTCGGATGAGAATGAAAGTGATCCCTGCCGAGCATTCTCACACATTGACCTTTAATGAACGAGCCTAACCAAACCACTCACTGATACGCTGGGACATGGCAAAAGCACCACCAATTACATTATGCATTGTAAAACCTGATCATTTTATTTATTGTGTGTGTATATCTGTGTGTGTGTGCTAGCGCCATAATAGGACTGCAGAATTAGATGAGTTCATTCTGTTAAGATGCTATAAATAAATGTATGTGCTTTGGGGCTGTTCATACCTGGTCACTTTATGCATTTTATTTTTATTTATTTTTTTATTTTATCGGGTAGCTATATAAT